TAATACAATAGATGTTGATTTTCTTGTGACCGTAGAACTGCAAGATCCTCTAATTAATGATCTGAGAGTTTGGAGACGAGGGGCTGCAAGACTTGTATCCAGGACTTCAAAATTTGTTAGAGATTTAATTTGTAGAAAATTTTGAGACTTCAACTTGCATTGCTTCCAACCTCCGTGGACCTGGAATGGCAATGCAAAATTTATCCCTATTTGTTTGGTCCATTCTAGTGAGAGCATTCCCACTTTTATTATCACTTTCGGTACTGGAAGGTTTGAGAAAACTTTGATATTTTTAAACTTGATTTGGATTTGTTTTATTTGAATACGAATTTGATCTTCTTGATATTTCTCGAAATTAGGCTTGAGAGAATTCTTCTCTTCCTTTGACTTCAAAATTTTTTCTACACTTGTGATTTTTCTCATGCACCTTTTATTTATCAATTTTTTTTATGGATATTTGGTCATATTTATATATAAAGTTGTAACCATTGTGTAACTACCCACTTTTGATTTGATTTATTGAATTTTAAAAGTATGATGGATTTTTTTAGTGTGGGATGAGCTTTTAATATGCTTTGTCCTTTTGATGAATTTTAGATTTTTTTAAGTAAACTTAAATGGGCTAATAATTTAAAATTCATAATTAGCATATAACGTCTCTATTTTTTATTAGGGACAATACATAAATTTTATAAATAAGAATTACATTTCAAAAATAACAAACTTAAAAAATCAGGTGTTAAATCAATTAATTAAATATTTTTAATTATAATATAATACAATTATCCANGACAACCTCTTGTTCTTATCACTTGTAGTGATATAACCAAGAACCATCCACTAGACTTTAAGATTGTTAACCAATAGTCCCTCATCGAATAATTGGAAAAACTAAGTACCGAATAACCATGCTCGAATGACAATCCAAAGATAGAATAACAATCATAAAAAGTTTTGTAAATACCAAGAAATAAAGGACCAACTTTTACCTATATTACTGTACCCGTACCTATCCGTATACTCCCTTTCATTGAGTTCCTTAGTCACTTGGAACCCTTGCAACGAATTTGCAAATGTGATTAGTTGTTTGTGGATTCAACTACTAATACAACATAATGTATAAGTCTTACTCTACTGTGGATGTTTAGATTATGTAACATCCTCATTTATCTTACGTTTGCCAGACGAAAAATAATTTGATGGCCCACCCCTCACAGTTTAACTTCACCATCCTTGGCAACAAAAATAATCTCAAGGTGACCAATCGTGTTTTACCATATTGTCTCGTACAAAATGTGCTCGGTTACATTACATGTTTAATGGCAGTTTTTCACACCCGATAAATCAAGTGTCCAAACTTATTATAAATTCTTCCATCATGTCAAAATGATTATCCGATTTTGATATACTTGACAAAAGAAGTCACAAAATTAGAAGCGGGCATCTCATCAAAACAATACCATCGTTCAGGAAGCCTTATTATCATCATTGGACAAGCATTACACGTAATTTTACGATAAATTACGTGTATTAAAATAAAGAAATTATTAAAAAAATTAATTTTGAGAAATTCAATAGATGTTGATTTTCTTGTGACCGCAGAACTGCAAAATCATCTGATTAATGATCTGAGAGTTTGAAGGCGAAGGGCTACATGACTTGGATCCTGAACTTCAAAATTTATTAGAGATTTAATTTGTTGAAAATTTCAAGACTTGAATTTGAATTTTGAGACTTTAACTTGCATTGCTTCCAACCTCTGTGGGCCTGGAATGACAGTGCAAAATTCACCCCTATTTGTTTGGTCCATTCTACTGAGAGCATTCCCACTTTTATTATCACCTCCAGCACTGAAAGGTTTGAGAAAACTTTGATCTTCTTAAACCTGATTTGGATTTGTTTGATTTGAATAAGCATTTGATCTTTTTAATATTTCTTGGACTTAGAATAGAGAGAATTTTTCTCTTCCTCCGATTTTAAAATTTCTTCTACACTTGTGATTTTTCTCACGCACCTTTTATTTATCATTTTTTTAATGGATATTTGGTCATATTTATAGATAAAGTTGTAACCATTCTGTAAATACCCATTTTTGATTTGATTTATTGAATTTTAAAAGTATGATGGAATTTTTAGTGTGGGATGAGCTTTTAATATATTAATATAGGTTGGCTTTCTTATGAATTTTAGATTTTTTAAGTAAACTTAAATGGGCTAATAATTTAAAATTCATAATTAGCACATAATGTCTCTATCTTTTACTATTATTGTGAAAAAAGTCCACACCTTCAATTTTTTAACATTTTCACACTTACTTATACATTTGATTACGAAAAAGTTCATTTTCACCCAATTTCTCAGTAAATGAATGGTATTCTCGTCATTTTCCCTCTTTCTTTCCCTCACTTGAACCCATTTTCTCCTCTATTTCTTTCACTAGAAAGTAACTTTTAGTTTTTTCTTGGGATATGAACACCCAAGAAAAGATTGACCCTACCGTTAAGAAAAATGAAGAAGGCAATGGGTTGTTCAAGGGTGAGAAATATGTGAGAGCCTCAAAAATATGTGAAAATGTAAAATTCCTAAGGAATTCTGACTTCATTTGATTTGAAAGCACATCGTATTTGATGTGTATCTTTAAATCATGTGTCTTACATGGGGAATTTTGAACTCAAGCTGTCAAGTACATTGAGTATAACACCTCTTTCAGTGAGGAGGAAAAAATAGTCCAAAGCACTGCAAATCACTGGCAACTTGAACAATGCAACTTACAAATTGAAACTGAAAGATTTATAAGCAGGCAGAGAAGTTGTGTACATAGGTTTGCTTAGCTGGATATTCGATTTCTTTTAATTGTCATGGATTTCATTTGTTTACTAAGGAAAGTATGTGAAGGCGTTGGAACTCGAGAGCACAAACGTGAATGCACTTTCCATAAGGGCTCAAGCATACGTGAACATAGCCGATCTAGATTTGGCCGAATTCGATATTTTAGAGGAAGAAATAGGGGAGAAAATGGGTTCAAATAGGGAAGAAATAGAAAAGATGACAAGAATACCCTTCACTTAATAGATAAATTGGATGAACATCACCTTTTGTACAATCAAATGTATAATTAAAGATGAAAATGCCAAAAAAATGGAAGGCATGGACTTTTTTTTTTATAGTAATAATGAAAGGTAGGGATGTTATGTGCTGATTATCCATTTAAAATCGACCCCATCCATTTAATTTTATTTTTATTTTTAATATTCGATGCCTACAATGTTTTTACGTGTGGTAAGAATAATGTAAAGAATAAGAAAAGAATGATGTTATTTTGGTTTGCAAGTTACAACATGGGAAGTAAAGAACACAGAATATTTGGTCCGAAAAAATTTGCATTCCTTGTGCATAAATAAAGCACTTTGTGTGTAACTGGGTTATTGTAAGTTGTATTTATTGTAGTGAATGGAAATCTTAAGTTTGTGGCGCCTATCAAACCAAAAACAGGCCACACAATCAGTGGGATCCAACTTGGCCACTGACTGAATTCCGTTGTGACTTCACTCTCCACTGCCATGGCCCCTTGCCCACTCTCTGTGCTTTGTTATGTCGCCAACTTGTCCTTTTTTTTTTTCATAATTTTCAAAAATAAATATTGAACAACTAAAAAATTATTTTGATCTACATTGAATGATCTTTCATTTTGTAAATGGGTTAACTGATTTATAGATAGAGGGGTAACTAATTTCTTAATTGTAATTTACATTTTCAAGTATGGACAAGTGAGGATTATATTTGTATCGAGCTTTTCGACCATTTTAGAAAATTCTCCAATATTGCCTCATGTAGAGTTTTGGTCCGAGTCCAATTCGTCATCCACTCGCAACAGCCATCAGTCATTTTCTTGATAAACTATTGCACCACCAAATAGCTATTGAACGAATAATGTAGCAAAAATAATATATCTCAACTTAAAAATTACGGAATTTTATTTGCGTGCATGAGAAGTGTAGCAAAATTAAAGTATCTCTGACTTAGAGGGTGTTTGGTGTAGATTAAAATCAGATTTTAAGTGGATTGTGATAAAAGTTTTTGAAATGTGTGGTTGATATTGATTGTTTGACTTTAATTTAGATTAAAATCTGGTCCAAACAGGTCCTTAAAAATTGTTTTTAAGAAACAAACTTTTGTCTAGGAATTTGTGTCCTTGTATGACTCGTCATCTTATCGGACCAAATAAAGATTATTTTCTCGATAAACTATTGCGTCATCAAAAAGTAATTTAACAAAAGTAAAATATTAAACTTAAATATTAAGATACTAAGTCCATATGCATGAACAATGCAGTAAAAGTAAAGTAACTCGATTTAAAAATTGTAGAAAGTAAACAAATAGTCTTTTCTTACAACTTTTAAACCCTAGGTATCTCAATCTCAATCCGCTCGTCATTATCTTGGATCAAGTACAAAATATTTCCTCGATAAACTTTTATATTAGCAAATAGCTATTTAGTATTTACATGAAAGATGTAACAAAACTAAAATATCTAAACTTAAAAATTAAAGATGTTTCACTACGGCTCGTCCTCCTCTCGATCCAATTACAGATTATTTCCTCAATAAACGATTGTATCACCGAATAACTATTTACACGAGAATGTAACAAAAGTAAACTATAAATTAAAGATACTATGCGTGAAAAGCACAGCAAAAATAAAGTGTCTTGACTTGAAAATTGTAGATAAGTAAACAAAGATTCCATTATACAAGTTTTTGTACCTATCCTAATCCTTTTTAGTTACTACACGTGAAAACGGAAAAAGGCCCTGTCGACATTACTACACGAGAACCGTCTCAGCTGCATTCACACCGCAACGAATTTATAAAAAAAGTTCACGATCCTTCCTTCATGCATAACGTGATACGATAGTCAACACAATACATATACCATTATACCACCACACACACACTCTCTCTCTCTAGCTGTTTTGCATTTAACTTCTCTCTCGTTTCTCGATGCTTTCTTCAATGGCGAATCTCCATTTTCTGAGCTTTACAGTTCTATTTTGTCTTCTTTCCGTGCAGTTCTGTACAGTTTCGTCAGGGGCTTTGGCTATTTGGAAGAATCACCAGAAGCGTCCCTACCATAGACGCCCAGTGCTTTCATCTAATCAGAGTTCATGCTCATTGTTCATTGGCACCTGGGTACGTGACGAAACTTATCCACTCTACCAATCTTCATGTCAAATCATAGACCCAGAGTTCAATTGCCAAATGTACGGCAGACCTGACTCTGATTACCTCAAGTATCGATGGAAACCAACCAATTGCGAAATCCCGAGATTCAACGCTCTTGATTTCGCGACAAAAATGAGAGGGAAAACTGTGATGTTTGTCGGTGATTCTCTGGGGCGTAATCAATGGCAGTCGTTGATTTGCATGATATCAGCTGGGATTCCTGTGGGATCACCTACACAAATCATCAGAGGAGATCCTCTCTCTACCGTCAAGTTCCTGGTAAGCCTGCAGTTCAATATAATTACCATTGATAAACCAAATTCCCCATGGTTAATTATCTGTTTATTAAAATGCAGGAGTATGGTGTGACGGTGTCGTTTTATCGAGCTCCATACCTTGTAGATATTGATATTGTACAAGGTAAAAGAGTGCTCAAATTAGACGACATAGGAGGAAATGCTAACGCTTGGAGAGGTGTAGACGTGTTGTCCTTTAACACGGGTCATTGGTGGAGTCACAAGGGATCTCTTCAAGGGTAAAACAATGCACAGTATTTTATAAATTTTATTTTAAGTAATTGAAATATGTTGCATAGATCTTCTGAAATGTGTCGTTAAAATTAATTATTAACTTTGATTTAAAGTTTTAATCGATATTAAACGCATGGGCAGAGATAGGGGTGGGCTACAGCCCACCCTTGCCGAAGCCCAGTTATTAAAAAAAAAAAAAATTAAAGCCCAGATTAGCCCACTATCCAACCCAAATAGCCCACTGTCCAACCACTAGCCCAATTTTTGTTGAAGCCCAATTTCTCTCTCTCAATTTGAGAAACCCAATTGCAACCCTCTCTCTCACAATTCACCCCCTTTACCGGCAAACCCTTACAGCTCACAGCCTCTTTGCTCAGCTGCTCTCTCTGACTCTCTCAACCGAAACGGCGAACCAAACCCTCCCGTCAAGGCGTCAACCGAAGTCCAGCATCCGGCGAAGTCCGAATGCCATATGTGAGAAAGATGTTCTCACATTTCAATTAAATCTGGTTACCAAACGTCGTTTCGTCTCATTCCCTTTTTTGGCAGCAGTCGCGACACCAAGGTAAGGTCTACAAAATGCCTGAATCTAGTGTATAAGCGAGCATATTTAGATGATGTAGTTCAATTTAAAAAAAGTTCACTCTAGTCTCCAAATCTTGACAGGAAGTTGGTTTTTTTTTTGTGTGCAGTGTGTGCGGTATAACTTCAGTTCTTCAGGCCAGGCTTCACCGCTTCAGGCTTTCATTCAGCCTTCATTTACAGCGCCAGTGAGGTATGTTTGCGCTTTGTGGCCTTCAATGGTGTAATTGTGTTTGTAATTGTGTCATTGTGTGTGCAGTGCAATAAATAGTAATCTAACTTAGATGGAAATTGGAAAAGTTCAGTGATATTTGATAAAATGGAAAAGTTCAGTGATTAATTGTGTGTATGTGTAGTGCAGTGCAATGTAGTAATGCAGTTAGATACACTGATGCTGAGGCCACATTAGTGATTAGAGGGGCTGCTAGTTGCTAAAATTTATAATCACACTCCATCTCCATTAAATAATTTGAAATTGAATGGCTGCTAGTTTCTAAAATGGGAAAGTTAGTTTGAGAATTTAGCCAATAGCAATTTAACCTATGATATAATGATAAGAATTTATAGGATATTGAAGTTTTTTTTGTTATTTATGCTCTTAGGTTTAATATGGAGGAAGATCAACATTCTTCCAAGAAAGAAAGAACTTTGTTATCTTTCTTTTCATTTTTTTTATTTTTTTAATTTTTAAAAAAAAATTTAAAAAAACTTATTTAAAAAAAATAAAAAGTTATTTTTTGAAAAAAGGTTACTTAAAAATATAAAATAAAATAAAAACTTATTTAAAAAAAGGTTTTTAAAATAAAATAAAAACTTATTTTTTTTAGAAAAAAGTTACTTAGAAAAATAAAATAAAATAAAAAGTTATTTTAAGAAAACGTTTTTAAAAATCTTTTTTTTTTTTAAAAATCAATTATTTTATATATATACTTCAAAGTTACCGTTTTACCCCTTTTGAAATTAATAAAAATAGTAAAAAAAAATTGGGTAATCATGGTCAAATATTATATGAAATTTGGTGGTCATTGTGAAATATTATATGAAATTTGATGAGTATGATGAAACAAAATAAAATTGGGTGGTCATGACGACATTAAATGTAAAAGTTGGGTGTATCTAACCCTCGTTTTTAGAATAGAAAGTTTGAAAGCAACTAACCTAGCTAGGCTTCATTAATTGGCTGCTGGAAGACAGCTGTAATCTCACAGTTGCTGGTGCAGCTTGTTCAAAGACGGGGCCTAGTTTGGGCCAATTATTGAACTTCGGTCGAAGTCGGACTGCCCGCAAAAACATTATTTTTCATTCAATCATTCAAAAGACAATTCATTAAAGTTTCAAAGCAACCAAAATTGGTTTTAGCAGACATAATTGGTGTCGCACGTCCATACCAACTTTGCACAACCACGCCTCCAAGGTCAACGTTTAACTAGTTAGATTATACTTTATGATATGTTTGATAAGGTAGAGCGAACGATATTGTGCGATCCATTAATGATATTGACTTGGATGGCAGCCCGAGTGAATGGAATGCAGGGGCGGTAACAACATCAAAGAGCTGTTACGGTGAGACGACACCAATGAGTGGCGGGGGCACTACCTACCTCGGGGGATATTCAGATCAACTGAGGGTTTTGGAAACAGTTATAAGATACATGAACAACCCTCCGTTTCTACTTGACATAACGTTGCTTTCAGCAATGAGAAAAGATGCACATCCCTCTATTTACAGTGGAGATCTCACCCCAGGGCAAAGGGCTAATCCTGACCATTCAGCTGATTGTAGTCATTGGTGTCTTCCTGGATTGCCAGATACTTGGAACCAACTTTTCTACACTGCTTTATTCTTCTTACATTAGTACATGTTTGGTACGTAGATCGTACTGGAATGTACAATGGACAATACTGTCGAATACTACTTATTAAAATGTCATTTAGTAGTGTTCTTAACACCCCCCCCCCACCCCTCCCGTGATATGTAGGTATTGATTTTAGTCCATTCAAGAAGAGGATGGAAGTTTCCTCTTCACTGTGTACAAACTGTTCGGGAGCACATCTGGTGATTTATATGGTTGAAAGCTTTAGAGGATGTAGTGTGAAAAAAGCAGTTATATGTAATTTACTTTTGAACTATCTCCTGTTTGGCAAAGCTTAAAGAATTTACTTAAATGTAAAAAATGCAGTTATATGTAATTTTCTTTCTGAACTATCTCATGTTTCGCAAAGCTTAAAGAATCTACTTATGAGTAAATAAGTAAGTTTAATTTTAATTTGAAAGTAATTTTTTTTACCGTCGAGGAAGAAAATATAAATTATCCAAAATATTTGAAAAGAAAATTTTAGATAAAAGTAAGTCGAATTTTTGTATAAAAGCTTTCTAAATGTTTATGAATTTGATTGAGACGACTAAAATGATAGGGACAGGTAATCAGCAGCTACGGGTAAAATGTTACAAGAAGAGAAAATTATCTTAAATCATATATTGAAAGTTTCAATTTCAAAAATTAGGTACAATATTTTTTTTTCCCAATGATCAGGTGATAATTATTTTAAAAAAAACATATATACCGTTTCTCTCTCTACTATGTCTCTAGCAGAATATCTTCTCTTTCTCTTGAAGAAGCTCAAAAAGAAGGCATCCACCATATCCATTTCCCGAGTTAGCGGTGGAACCCTTCGGAGCGACCATGGCTGAGGAGGTCGGTGGCTAGAAGAGCCACCTAGTGTCAGAACCATAATCGTAACCGACATGTCGCCCTAGAAGCTTGGTGATGATGAAGCTGAGGTGGTGGTTCTGCTTTTGGTTGCGCTGATGACATTGTTGGTTAGCTTTTTGAAAGGAGTGGAAATCATCCCTCTGCTCTCTTCACTCCTCTCTGTTGCCCCATCGTTTCCAATCGGTTGAACACGACGATGGCAATAGATATGCCCGCTATGAGTTAGGGTGTTGTGACCACTTGATTTTTGAAGAATTAAACTTCTTCGCCAAAAAAATTGACATCCTTATTGACATATACTCACATGGGAGTGAGATTCATGTGAATTAAAAAAGGCCAAAAAAATCATGTCCCCTCCTATTGTGAGGGGTCTAGTGTCAAACCCTCCTAGCAGCATAGCAGAATTGATTTTTGAAACATTTCATTAAGTTTGTTAAATTTGAAAGTATATTTTAAAAATATAATAGTTACGTACTTTTTCCTTGTTACATACAATTCGAACACAGTCCAAAAGTTCACTCAACTGTCCATCTGCTTACCACCTTAATAAGAAAGAAGCCCAGACCATCTAATCACTCAGAAGCCCCACTCCCAGAAATATAATAAGCCTTACATCAAAGCCCAGTCTTAAATACACAACACAAACCAGCATTAAACCCATTCTTCATCTATTTTTTAGTTGGNGTACTTTTTCCTTGTTACATACAATTCGAACACAGTCCAAAAGTTCACTCAACTGTCCATCTGCTTACCACCTTAATAAGAAAGAAGCCCAGACCATCTAATCACTCAGAAGCCCCACTCCCAGAAATATAATAAGCCTTACATCAAAGCCCAGTCTTAAATACACAACAGAAACCAGCATTAAACCCATTCTTCATCTATTTTTTAGTTGGAAATTACACCACATACCTTGTTTTTATTAAATATTCAAATTATACTATTAAATGCTTTTTAAACAAAAAATACTTTATTTTATATAGTAAAATTAAAAAAATACACAATTACACTCTCATCAATTAATTGATTCTCTGGCTATAATCACTCGAATATTGCTATGTGTACGTAGCAATACACATAAGGGTGTACATAATGTGAGAGGGGTGGGGTCCGCGCTATGTACACATAGCATGGTCCTAATCACTCCACCAAATACTCCTCAACACTCCTGGTTATCCAGCCAAAAAAAATCCTCAAATCGTAGTCTTCCTTTTTGAAGAAAAAATAAAAAATTACCAATGATTTGAAGAATTTCTCATTTCCATCATGTTCATAACTTTCTTCATATCCAAATCTAGGTTTCATTTAATACATTATGCCAAGAAATCAATATCCATGATGCAATTTCGTATTTTCTCGATTTCTTTGCCGTTTATGAAATCCCTAATATTGCACTTCGGTCTGAAAATCATATAGATCCGACCTTTTTCTTATATTATTGAAGATTCTATCACAAAATTCGCAATTCATACTAAGATTCCGTCGATTGGGAATTTTTTTGTCCAGATATATATCATATTAGTGGTCTAGACATTTCCACGCAATCCCCGTTTGAAAAAGAGTAGTTTGAAAGCGGAAAATGGCAACGCCAATTTGCCATTACACATTGAGTTCAAGCAAGAACAAACACCTGCTTGAAGGTACACCACAAGCTTTAGCTGCTAATCCGTCACACCGTTTGTCAATGCATCGAACCACCCGTATCACGAATGGAGTGAATACTACTTCGAGGTTATTGCTGAAACAGAGAAGAAGATGAATAGAAATGATACGGGTTGGTTTCTTCTTTATAATATCCTTGCTTCTTTTGTTT